GTAGTAAAAGCACAGCAGCAGAAAGGAACACTCTGTTATTATTACCACCGCTAAGACTATATTCACCCTAGGTAAGTAAACTGTGGCATTTGTATGTTGGATTAGCCAGGGGTTCACAAATGTGGCCGCCCTCAAAGGGCCACACAATAAACACTTCAGGCTTTGCTGCCGTCCTGCATTGTCTTCTTTTTATTTTTTTGCTTTTTGTTTTCCCATAAATCTTAAAAATATGAAAGTAATTTCTTGTTTATGGCCTATAGAAAAAAAGGCCCAGGGCCAGGTAAGTCTGCTAACCTATGTCCTATTAGGACAATGTCAAGTGAAATTTTGTCTTATTTGAGTAACTACCCCAACACGACAAAAAGAATCTCTGAGACAGGGATCGTTACTTACTTGCCCTTCCCTCCTGGGAGCCTGGCATGTTGCCTGCTGCACATATATGTTGGGTAAGTACTAATATCTGTTCTTTGCAGTATTAGGGCCTGAACCCAGGCCCCATACATGCGAGCTACCCTTTGTTGTGACTCTTTTACAGTACTGGAGATTGAACCTAGGGCCTTTACCCTAAGCTATAACCCCAGTCCTGTCTTATGTTGTGCTTCGTTGTGTTGTGTTGTTTGATAAGGTCTCACTAAGTCATTAAGTTTTCCAGGTTGGGCTCAAACTTGCAATGCTCCTGCCTCAGCATTTGGCATAGCTGGCATTGCTGTGTGTGCCACTACATCCAGCCTATGGATGTGCTTATCACTTGATGAAGCTAGGAAGGAACCAGAGTGTGTCACACACTCTTCAAAGCTGCCTGGTTGGCCCCTGAGAAGGTGTCATCCAAGAAATGCAGACAGTAAAAGACAGACACAACATACTCACAAAGGGAAGAATAACTGCCATTAAAGATGGCAACAAATAGCAAGAAAATCAGGAATGGCTGCATTACGCACAGCATGGATGAGTAGGTGGAAGTGGGTCATGCGATTCGTCTACACAAGACACTGAAATCCAAATCAGTGCTAGCAGAACTGCAAAACTGTGAAACCACTGGGGCATTTTAAACAAGCCATCCAAACACTGCAGTGTGTTTTTCTAAGCAACAGAGCATACAGAAGAGTCTATTATATATTTATCAAAAGCATGTATTTGTCCTTTAGGACATACTTCAAATAGCATATGCTGGCTGGACACTTTAAAAAGAAAACAGACATAGCAAAATGATCTCAGACACCATTCCTTACACACCCTCATTCTGCATAGACACAGTGAATGCAGCGTCATGTTCAGGCACCCCAAAGGAAAAGTGCGTGGGTAGAGAATCAGTGCCCACCCGTGTGGCCCTGCACAACTCCACAAAGCTCTGAGAGCTACAATGCAAGGTGGCTGCAGTGTTGTGGGTCACTGTCACACCAGACACTGAGCGACTATACAACTAGAGCCTCCAGGAGGAGAGGTGTTGGGAGCCACTGGGGCTAGAAACTGGCCATAGGTGTGGGGGCAGGACAGAGCCAGAGCACCTCAAGTTCTCAAGCTACCTCAGTCTTAAAAAACGCATCCTGCCTGGACAATATAGTAGTTAGTTGCTAGACAACATTGCCTCTCATGATACAAACTTCTCAAGAGTATAAATAAACCCCCCTACTGCCAAAGTCAGTCCTCCTGCCCATCAGGTAAGAGATAACTCTATCTGACCCTGGTTAGTGTCTCCTGTCTATTTTCTGAATCTTCTTGCTGTTTTCTCCAGGGACCACCCAGAGACCACCAAGTCTTACAGAGAGGGTGAGGGACAGGGACTACACAGCCCTGTTTGCCACTGGGTGGTCGAGGTGGTTTGCACCAGCTCCACTTTGGTCTCCCCACACCCTGCTTGGTCCTGGGCAGCTTCTGTGGGAAGGAAGCCCAAGCCAGTAAGAAATTATCAGGGGGCCCAAACAACTTGGCCACTTTCTCAAGGGTATAAATGATGACTGGATACACAGGTTGCTGTCATCAGGTTCCTTCTGTTAGTTTAAAGCACACAGCAGGAGTGATGAATCATACCTCCATGGACGGGGTTTCCCCTCAGCCCCAAGGCTGGGGCCCAGTGCTGTCCTCCAGAAGGTGTGAGGCTTTGACATAGGACAAGGCTAACATAAAGACGCGGAATCACCTTGTCACAGTTACCAGCTATGGAAACTTGGGCCACTGGCCACATATCCCTAAGCACCAATTCTCCCAGCTATAAAATGGGGAAACAACATTTTACCTCATAGGTCCTCTAGGAGGACAAGTGACATTTACAGATAAAGTTTCCGGAGCACACCTGTGGTGTCAGAAACAAAACATCCCTACTTGGAGAAGCAAAGGCAGCTCCCATTCAGAAAGCATCTAGCTGCATTGTCCTCCCCAGGGAGCTGCATCTCCCTTGAAGAGACAAGGCCCTGGGCTCCAACAGAGCTGACAAGTGCTGGTGGACCTTCTTTCTCTAGAAGCCCAGGGCAGGTAAAGGCACCTAGAGAGACCACATCAGGTCATCCTCAAATATTGTATCAATGAGATCTTATTTATATGCAATGAAAACATTAAACTGCCAGGTACTTTTTTAAAAGTTTTCTAGGCAGGACGCAAACTCTCGATCCTTCTGCCTCAGCCTCCTTACATGTTGAGATTACAGGCATGCGCCACTATACCCAATCAACTGCTGTGTACTTTGGAGAGTAAGACTTCTCGCAATCAGGCATATAAAAATCCACCAATAATCACCTCACCTCTCCCGACCCTCTCCTACTTCCTCTACCATGTCATAATCTTGGCACTGGGCTACCAAAAGCTTGGGGAACTTTAAAACCAACAGTCCAGCAGGAGGACATGCGCATCTCTCCTATGACCAGGAGGAGTGAGCCAGCTCTGTGGACAGCGAAAGACTGTGACTAGCATTCTGAGAGCTCGATTCATATGCATCTTGGACCCAGCCCCTCACGTGACAAAGGCGCCCTTACTCCGCCAGCCCGAGGATAGTCTCTCGCTTGTACTGGTCATCGATGGTGAAGCGCTGCACGTCCACTCCCTTGCCCAGGCCCTGCAGGAGCTGTGCCTGTGTGAGGTCCAGCAAACGCTCGTTGTAGTAATGCAGCTGCGCAGTGAGCGAGGCCAGGTCCTCCGGCCAGGCTTCATGTCCACGGAGAGTCACGTGCCTGGTGACCATCCTGATCAGCTCTTTGGGGTCAGCCTGCGAAAGGAATGGGAGACCCATTGGACATGCATTACTCCAAGATGAGCATGGGAGGGACAGAGAGAAGGCTGTGCCTATCCCGCACCTGTTGGCCCTTCACACTGCAGCCACTTAACCCAGGTGTGCTGTGGCTGGGAGCCAGCACAGAGGGCACCACAGGCCATGAAGTCAGGACTCAAATCCAGCACCACCCCCGACCCCGCGACCTCCACTCTGTCCCTCAACCTTGAAAACCTCTCCAACTTTAAAAGCAAAACTTCTTGCTCCTTTGGCTTCCATAAACCTGCATCACACTCTGTCCTACACTACCTGATCATTTATAATAACTCCCCTGGCAGAAATTTCATCACTTTTGCCTCTGGATGCAGTTTTGGGGACCAACATGAAATGATTCCAGTATGAAAGCTGTAGTTCAACGGCCCCACCCTTAGGAGCTACAGAGGAGAGCCTTTCTCCAGGGAGAAGTCAGGAAAACAAAAACCAAGCCCACCCCAGGTCCCAAAATTGGGAACACTTCAGGTTACATAAGAAAGCATCCAAGCAACTCCTACTCTGCTTGATTTGGGGCTCAGTGGGATGGTATTCCATGATTCTTAGCAGTTTCTCAAAGGCAGTAAAATTATTCTATTAGAATAAAACCCAGAAGCCAACAGCTAGCAGGGAAGGACAGTATGAGCTGGCCACACTTACTTAAACTAAAGTTGATCTGGGTGTCAACAAAGCAGATTTTGGCATCAGTGACAGGCAGCATGGCGGACAGCATTAACTCAATCACTCATTTCTGGGACAACACAGGACATGTGGTAAGATGAGCGAACTAGGGGGAAACCCCAGAATCTACCTTGGTTCTTGACAACACACCACTAACTTAGGCAAGCTGTCAGCATTTCTGGTGGGTAGAAGCCATGACACAGGGAGACTTGTCAGAGTGGAGTCTGTGTTGCTACCCGCACCTGAAAGTCTCTCTTTTGATCCTGTTAAGGAACGAGCTGATAGTGTGGATGAAAATCAGTTAAAAGAAATCTTGGGTTCCAGCTGGTGGACTTGAGCAAAAGTCAACCTTACTGTATTTAATTCTCCCCTACCTCTATGTGTACACCGAGTCCTATTCCTAAAAATCATAGGGAAGTATATCAAAATACCTGCATCTGAATACCCTAACAAGCTAGAGAGCTCTTTCATTCATTTAGCAGATTTTCTGTGTGTGCACATTGTATATACCAACGGAGGTACTACCAGAGTACATGCCCTTTTCTCCAGAAATGCAGTCTATTTGGACAGACATTAAGCAAACAACTGTAAACAGCGTGACATGATAAGCACAGAATGCTATGGTAATATGAGGATGGAGACTTGGGCCAGTATCAAAGAAGTCTCCTTGGAAGAGTTTGTGTCTTAGCTAAGTCCTCAGGTACCAGCAGCAGAAAGGCCAGTGCTATGATCTAGATCTAAAATGCTCCCCGAAAAGCCTCCTGTGTTCAAAGGTGGGGCACTTGCAAGGTGATGATCATGGGTGCTGTGCTCACCAGTGGATCCATCATGGATAAGTTTAGGGTTCAATGTGCTGTAGGAGGCAGGGCCTGGTTGGAAGAGGTCACTGGGGTATGACCTGGAAGGGTGTACTCTCGTCCTCAGCTCCTCCCTTCTCTCTCTGCTTCATGTCTGCCATAGATCAAGCAGATTTTCTCTGCCATGCCCTTGTACCATGCCACTTCAGCCTTGGTGCCATCCAGTCATGGACTGAACCCACTGAAGCCATGAGGCAAATCAACTCGCCTCCTTTGAGTTTCAGGTGTCAGGAATTTTTGACCCAGTGTTGGGAAAGTGACAATATAGTCACCAAGAAACAGGAAGACAACCTCTAGCAAAGGTTAGCGCATGTGCTAAGGCCTACATGGCTACAGCCAGATGGAAAGATGGAGTAGACAGACCAAATCTAACTGTAACTAGAGAGTACTCGGGAACAGCTGGGTAGACAGTACTTCCGACAATGGAACTGATAAAAGGGGACCCCAGTTCTTAGCATAGCTATGGCTTCCCTTTAACTCAGTCCCCTTCTGTCTGCTGACTGAGTCCCTCAGGGGACCACACTGAACGTCCCACTATGGGCACAGCACTTCTGCAGCTCCCTGGTCTAGGGAAGGCACTCCTGAACCAGCCAGCCTACGGACACCTGCTCTATGGGCACCACATCTACACGCTTCTCACCGCCTCAACAGTGCCACATCTCACTAACAGTCTCTCTCCATTCTGATGTAACCTATGATACAAACCCTGCTGCAGTCAGGGTTTACCGAGGAATAGGTTTAATATAGGATGCATAATTTATATAGTATTATTTCATAGTAGTCACCCAAAGAGTCAAATACAAAAGAGTGCAGGAAATCTGTCCACACATTAGAGACCCAAATAATCCAGCTGAGGGGCTAGGTCCCACAGCAATGTCCTACACGAGTCCAGCTAGAGGCCTAGAGCCCACGACAATGTGTCATGCAAGTCTGTTATCAAGGATCTGCACTGGGAAGGCCCAAAGGTCTGTGATGGAAGCCACAAAGTCTGCACCAGCGGGATGAAGGATCTGTGCCAGCAGGCTGAGGGATGCAGTGGAGCCAGGAACTGACGCCCAAGGTAAGGACCAGAGCTTTCCCAAAGAGAACCAAAGCCATCCTCAGTGACAGCAAGGACCTGAGCTCCTCTGATGATGAGAACAGCCAAGTTCATATCAGGAAAGCCGGTGTGACAGGCTTCTCCAGGAGAATCGGCAGCACCATCTTCCCCTCCAGTTCTCCCTTTATGCTGTTGGCAATAATCCTCAGGTAGAACTTCCACACCCAGGGCCACACTGACTCAGTTCAGCTGGGTGTTACAAGTTGAGCCTTAGTTAACTCACCACAAACCATGAGGCCAGGTGGACAGCAGCACTACCAACTGGCAGTGTAGAAGAATGATGTGCATAACTGCCATCCCTGATACCTGCAGGGACTCTCATGCACCCTGTGGAAAGTTTCCAGCACAGTAACTTTTGAATTCACATGTGGCAAAAAGAATGCACTGTCTTCTTTGCCAGTGAGGAAGTGGCATTTGAAATAAGCACAGACATGCCCAGCTTAGCAGCTGGCAGACCTCATACAAGCACCTTAGTGACCATGAACTTCACACTGTCACCTGCAAACCAGCACTGACAAACTGCTTGCATGTGGTGAGGCATCCGGGAGACCACAGTGCACAGGTGCTCCATAGGACAAGTGTGGAACTTGGTAGAAAAGCACACACTTTAATTGTATGTCTATCGTGTGATTTCCTTCTCTTAATGACAGCTTCTGGGCGGAGACCTTTCCCAGGAAGTGTGTGATCTTCTGCCCTGCAGTTACAGAGAACAGGACAAAGGAGCCAGCTTGGACCCTAGCAGCTGAGCCTGCAGTCCAGCTTGACGCTTAGTGGAGAGCGATTTGAAGCTGCTGCTTTGCTGTTTCCGCACCCATAAAAAAACGTCAGGCACACAAGCTCGGCAGCTTGCCAGGACCACAGATCAACACGGGATTTAAAGCACCCTGCCCCCCATTACTATAACAGCCAAGTGGGACCAAGCTCTCACTCAAAGAGCTCAGCGCTAGTGACTGGTAGGGGTGTGCACACGAACCGTCCACACGACGACAGCGTACTGGGGCTCCGCAGAGAACGTGGCCAATCCCCTCTCCCAGTTCTGGTCCACGGTGTCCTCAGATAGGAAAAAAGCTTTGACACACGATCAACAAAGACTAAAATCCTGTACAAGGCTCCGATCATTACAATAAACTCAATCCTTGTCCATCCCTCCTGATATGGAAACAAGGAAGTTCTACGTCTCTCTCGTGCTGCCTCCACTGAATATTCACTGATTTTCTCAAAATGTTCCAGCTCCCGTTTGCCAGCACGCATTTCTTGTGTGTCATGCACCTCCCTGAGACGTGGCATTCTCGAGTTTCTACAGCATTTGAGTGTGGCTCTCACGGGAGCTCAGAGCAGCCCCGTGACTGGTGTGGGCATGGGGGAGGGCGGGGGGACACAGCTGCTCCTGCTTTCTAGCCAACAGCCGTTCTGGCAGTATCCAGGCGCACAGTCCAGCAGCTACAAGACAGAGGGGCAGCTGCCTCTGCCACTGTCCCACCTGCTGTGCAACTGGGTTCTCCCTGTTTAAAGCACACTCATAATTTTCTCCTCCACAAGTCTGTGGAGTGATTTGTCAGGAGGAAAGCCTTTAGCCCCTAGCAAGACTGCAAAGGGCTTTATGGGTAAGCTTCGAAATCATCCACAATCAGTATCAGAGTGATACTGTAAAACAGTGCAGCCTATAAAAACTACTGGCATAAAAAAGCACCAAGAACTTAAAAAGGAAAAGTGAGAAGAAAGGAAGTATTCTATTTTCCTTCCCAAATGTGGAAATTCAGTTCTTCAGGGGAGTGAATGAAATATAGTTTCTCTAATGAATATGGTCAAATCACTGTAAAAACAAAATATGCATAAATATTCATGACAACAGAAAGCTCACTGACTCAATCTACTGCTCACTAGTAAGGATAATAAATCTCTTCTGGTTAATAGTCTCCACTTCTGGTTAATATTGTCTGAGAAGTTTTAAACAGGTGGTATGCTTCCCTCTAGGGTTGTTATTTTGCTTGAGATAATTTTCTACTTAGTATTTTCAATTAGTAGCTTAAAAAACACATTCTAGAAACAGTGCCATAAAGTTTTGAATTTGACCCCTGCTGCATTCGACTCCATAGCCTAAAAAACTAAAGGACAGGTTTCCATTTTTAACTGATTTCATCTTCTGAACCCTTTTTAAAAAGTACGCTACAAAGATCACACTTCAGGACCTATTTTACTGTAGTTATAAAGGTAAGATTTAAGTGGGAAAAGTCCAGATATCACACAACATGTGTGACTATCCTGCAGGGCATGGTGTACATGCCTGTCATCCTAACACTTGCAGGCTGAGGCAGGAGGATCGATGCGAGTTCAAAGCCAGCCTGTGCCACAAAGCCAGCCTGTGCTACAAAGTGAGTTCAAGGCCAACCTGAACTACATAGCAAAACCCCATCTTAAAAAGACAAAATTAAATTAAATTAAATTTAAAATGCAGAACCATACACTATTTCTGGACAGATACAAAAGACAAACACTGGCTTTTTAATTGTACACCATTTGCATGGCCTGAGTGTTTGGGCCAGGTGTGTATTATGTCTTAAACACATAAATGAGGTGATCAGGGCAGAAATTAGCAGAGCATAGTGATGTATTGGCCAACTGTCGGTCACTACTGTAGAAAGCTACAAACCAGCTGAGTTCAGGGCCACACACGTGGTCACACGCAGGATCGCACACATAGCTCCTCCAGAGTCAGGTCCTGTAGCACAGAGCCACAGGTGGGGACACTTGAGGCAGGCTGTGGGTCAGCACACAGTGCAAAGGACAGGTGCGAGAAAGCTCAGCTCCCCTGGGGCTGTAATGTTCAGGCAACAAACTGAAGCCACTCTAGCATCCGCCTCCACGCTGACTCATGGGGAATCCGGCACATGGATCCCATCTCAGCAGTGCAGAAGTGTGCAGACTCCAACGAGGAGACGGCCATGTGCTCAGAGTGCCTGAAATGGTGCGAACCAGGCTTCCCCACACCCGCACCCACTAGCACCAGGACTCCTTCGGGGCTCCCGCATAGCAGCAGGCACAACGCCTGGACTCATCACACGCCAGTGAACAGTCCCCCGCGGGGACGGCGTCAGAAGAGACCAAGACTGCAGGCTGGGCCCGGCAGAGAGCAAAGGACAACAGAGGAGGAGGGGCTCTGGGACTCAGCCTGCCCTGCCCAGGGTTAGGAGGAGGAGCAGTAGCCAGGATGACATCTGCGCCCACAGAGGCACACAAAAGGGCCTGAAATTCAGACAAGCCCAAGCTCTGAATGCCAGCAAGAATATCAGCTTCCAAAGAGGCTGTGTCAGGAAGCAGAGGGGAAAGGAGCCCAGCTCGCTGAGGCCCAATCTGTCATGCAGGGGTCCGGACTCCATCTCCTGCCGGGAATCACCGCCCGCCTTGTACCACAGAGCAACAGGGGCCCCATGCCAGGAGGGAAAGCCTGAGGCAGGGACAGTGACTGACCGACAGCACTTTCCACAGAGGCTGGTCACAGACCGCATGCCTGTCCTTCTCTCCTTGAATGTGACATTGTGGTATGTAAATGCCAACTGGAACACCTTGTGAAAAATGGCACGGTGCCAGTGACACAAGAGTGGCACTCCTGTGGCTTGGTACTACTCCTGTCCTCCGTGCCCTTTGCCCAGGCACCTGTGTGGAAATGCTGTCACCCTCTGGCCTTCCTCCAAGGCCACCATCTCAGCCTTCTCTGACCCTGTGTGAACAGCACTGGAACGTCCCCACCTCCACCGGTCTCTCTTTCTCACATACACACACACATACCACTTCCCTACTACTTTGCTTTCATATGATTTACTTATTTATGATACAATGTAATTAATAATAGAGGAGGTGTTTTTTTTTCTCATTCAGGTCTGGGGGTTAAATTCAGCCACTCGCACTGAGCTGCATCCCCAGCTGTTTTTCATTTTCTATTTTGAGACAGGTTCTCACTAAATCATGAAATTATCCAGGCTGGCTTGAATTTATGATCTTCCTGTCTCAGCCTCCAAAATGGCTGGGATGACAGGCGTGCGTTACCACGCCCAGCCAGGGGGGCACTTTTACATACTGTGTTCACCACTGGGTATGAGGGTGGCAGGGCCCAGGCAAGTCCAGCTTCCCTTTCTACAGGCCCAGTGTGAGATCTGGAGCTGATGGTCTCTCCTCCAGCTCTCCAGGCCCAGCCCAGCATGCCTGACCTTTCTGGATATGGGTCTCAGAGTAGCCTGCAGGCTGGGACCCAAACACTTCCATGCAGCTAGAGGCCGTGCTCAGATGTTCCCAGTCAGAAGCTAACAATATGGACAGGTGCATGAAAGCTGTGGGACTCTCACAGCAGCAGGAACACTATGTTCCAATATTCCATCCGTAAACAGCTTTTATACCTCTGGCTTAAAAACAAAGTGCAGCACTCTCAAGGAATCATGCCGCCCCCCTTTCCTGAGTGAGGACAACCTCCTCTTTTTGGGTAATGAGTTGAAACACCAGTCCTCCATTTAGCCTCTTCTACTGCCTTAGCCTTTCCTAAGAACTCCGTAAAATAAAGTAAATGAAAGAGAAGCCAGGGAAAGAATCGCAGTCACAACAAATGTGAGAAGCTCTATCTTACAACAGGTAGACAAGCAGTGGTGTCTCAAGCCACACAGGCTGTGCCTGCTCATGAAGAGGAATCATGTGCTTCTGCTAGGAGAGCTCAGTGCCCTCAGGGACAAGGCAGGGACCAAGGGACTCACTCTGTACAGAGGGTGGCACTTATCGCTGAAGCATGGGGCCAGGCGGGCGTAGATTTGGAGGCTGTAGTAGTACGCTGCCAGCTGGAGGGACAGCACTGAGTGTGACTGCTTCTCGAAGCACAGGTTCGCGTCTAACACCTAGGAAGGAGCAGATGTCATCAACCCAGGGAGAAGCAAGCAGGAAACTACGAGCTGTTCCATCTCTCGTCATTACCACAGGAGTTTGATATAAGTTTCCATCATGTCACCCAAGGTCAAGTTGCACTTCAACAGGACGGTGTGAAAATTCAGAAGACACCGTCAGGCAGGTGCTTTTAGGGAAACGTGGATTTAAAGACAGACTTTGTGCCAAGGCTGTAGGTTTCCCTCTCTGGACAAGACAGGGTCCCTTCAGCTCCTGATGTTTCCTGAACATCAGTAGGAGACAACACCCACGAGAAATAACCCACTGAGAAAGGTCCCCAGAACAGGCCCCTTGGTTTATTTAAAACTCTTCATTCACAAGGACCAACTTACCTGTGGTAAGGCGAGGAGGTAAGCAAGGGCCAAGGTCATGTCACGGGGCAAAGCGTCGCTCGCCAGCTGTAAGAGAACTAATGCAGGGAGGAAAGCGTCATTGTGTGTGAGATGCTAGGTCATTCAGAGTCAGCATCATCATTCTGTGTGGGACTCTAGGACGTTCACAGTGAGTGTCATTGCTCTGTGTGGGATCCCAGGACATTCACAGCAAGTGCCATCATTCTGTGTGAGACCCTAGGACATTCACAGTAAGGGCCGTCATTCTATGTGGGCTCCTACGACATTCGTATCGATCATCATGTTATCAGCACTTTGTGATTTTAACAGATAATTATTTCAAGAGGACTCTTTCAAGATCTTCCATGGGAATCTACTCGGCACCATCTAAACAAAGATCCCATAACCTGCATTAAATAGCAACCGTGCCCGACAGGAGGGAACCTGCTGGGGCAGCTGTCACACAGGAGAAGGTGCTCAAGGAGATGGTCCTGGAAGCCAGGTCTTCTGGATGAAAGGGATCAGCCCAGGCTATAAAATTCTGCATGTGGTGACAGCCTATGTGAAAGGTGGTAACACAAGTACTAAAGAGTCCTACAATCAGAGCTATAACACAGCTCTGTGCGTGCAAAGGCAGGATGAATCTCTTGGTTATTACACTGATAACATGATTTTGTTTCCTAAGAATAACCCTCTTCACACCTCACAAAAAGAAAATCACTCTTCTGTTCTGCTCATGTCTTAAACTATCCCATCCCTTAACAACTTTTCTACAAAATTTTTATATGCACAAAAACCTACCAGTGTCATGGCTTTAATAAAAGAGAGCACATTGCCAGTTAAGTTCTGTGTTCATACGCAGTTTGTGTTAATAAGCAAGCGCGCTGTTCACTTAGTGCCTTAGAGAAAAATACCAGGTACTCAGATGGAATCATAATAGAAACCCTTTATTTTTAAAACACAGACTCCCATGATCTGCATCGAAGGAGAGTGGTACATAAATCACCCAAAGTAAATGATACCTGACTTTGGAAATACATGTGAGCTTTTCCACATTTCCATTAGTTGGATGAGTATTTAAGTCATCTGCATAATAATCCAAGTATAGCCAATATCTATGCCAGTGATGGCAAACCTTTTAGAGATTTCAATGATACAAACAACCTGCTGTGGCATGCGTGATATGGGAATACCACTCTGTAGAGACGGTGCGTTATAGCTTGTGTCTCTGTTATGGTTTGTGTCTAGATGCCCCCGCAAAGCCTCAGGCAATCATGGGGTGAATTCTAGACTTTATGATTGATTCATGGTCCAGTGCTGGGATTACGGGTGTGAGTGCTACACCTGCCCTTGGGCTGGAAGCCTGCATACAAATTAAGGGAGGGAAAGAGGCTTGCTTTTTCCTCTTCTCCCTTTTGCTCTTGTTGCTTTTGCTGTATTCTGCTACCATGAACTGTTTCTCCTCTGCCACACCACCCTGCCTTGGAGCCAGCTGATTATGCACTGAAACCTCCACAAACTGTGAGCTAAATAAAGCTTTCCTTCCTTAATTTTGGGCATTGGGTATTTTGTTTCAGCAACTAGAGAAAAGTAACCAAGTCAGTCTCTGGGTCCCCCCAAAGCCTCAGGCAGTCATAGATGGGGCTTTTTCAGAGGTGGCTGGGACTAGAGGGTGTGATGCTGGAACTGATTCATGGTGCAATGGTAGGATCAAGGGTACTAGGATTAAAAGTGTGAGTGCTGCTCACCCTGAGTAGCCTGAATAAGATAGAAGGGACAGAAAGAGCTGTGGTTGGCCCTGGTTGCTTTGCTACCTTCTGCCCTGCCATGAACTGCTTCTCCTCTTCGATGCCTGTGCCACCCTGTCTTGGAGCCAGCCAATCATGAACTGAAACCTCTACAAACTGTGAGCTAAATAAAGCTTTCCTCTTTTACCTTTGGCTGTCAGGTATTTTGTCTCAACTCAAAGTTCTCCATGGATAATTCACAGGATAAAACATGAGCGTTCTCTGTGCTTCTCTAAATCTCCATTTCCTGTGTGTTCTCCCAACTGTGTGAACTAAATGGATGGCCAATCAGAATACTGGCCTATACAGGCCAAGAACCTGTATAGTTTATGAGATATTCTCTAATCAAAGCTACTCATTTCAAAGCCCATTTTGTAATGCACTCAAAATCAATTGAAAAAACTTTCTCTGAACCAGACATTACTGTAAGATAAGAATCAGAGGTCCTGCCCTTCAGGAATGAATGGGTTAGGATAAGAGAAAATCTCCAAACAGATTATTTGAAAATATAATACAAAGGTCCCAAAACAATTTTGTACAAGAAATTATGGGAACAAAGTAGTGTAAGATTGGTGAATGTATCCTGGAAGACTATTGAAAACTGAAGGATGGAGGGGTTAAGCTGTGAATTTGGATACCAGAAGATAAAGCAAGAAAAACTATATAAACATAGTTTACTGGATGTCCTGGACCACTTGAGTAGGAGTTACAGAAGAATTATATACCATACAAATGCCGCTGCTGCACACATATTCCATGGCTGCCCCTTGGCGTTCATATTCTACCATCAGATGCATGTCTAGCAGTCCTTCTAGCCCCCAGTGTGAGAGGAAAACCCAAGTATTTCACCTACTGATGATTCCTCCATCCAATTTCTCTGATGGTCTTTATAATATGACTTTCAACTGCAACCTTGTGTAGCCATTTTCCACATCCATCTTAATTTTCTTCAGATATTTCCCATTATTATGCACAAAAAAGGCCAGTTTTCAAACAAGCATATCTGAAGCCACTCATCAGAATTATCGCTCTCTCCAGGGGAAATCCCTCAGGAGCCATGAATTCCCAGGCTGTTGCAGGACTATCCTTTGTATAGATGTGGACAAGCCAAGCTCAGGCCCACCTGGGAAAGGAAGCCTCATCAATAACAATCTTCTGGTCCCATCTTCTTTATCATAACATCAACTTAATCTTCCCCTTATCTGTCATTCATCTGGCTGTTTCCAAAAATCAAGGCATCCTCAGGAGATGATAATGTGCTACCACCAAAAATATTTTCAAAAGTGTACTACAGACCTAAAACAAATGCCACATAGAAACAACCTGACATAAAACAAAGCCAACCAAGGGGCTGGGGATTTAGCTCAGTGGCACAGCGCCTGTCTGGCAAGCACAAGGTCATGAGTTCGATTCCCGGTACCAGAAGAAAAACAAAAAAACAAACAAACAAACAAAAGAACAAAGCCAACCAAAAGAGCAATGACAACACAGAGAAGAGACACTACCCGGGGACATCTCCCCAGGGCAGGGTCTCATCTGTCACTGAGTTCTGACAGGTGTGTTTTTACAACAGTCATACTAGATCACATACATTACTCACAGAGAGGTCACTAGCATTTCTGAATAATGAAATTAAATGCAAAGCTTATACCAAGTGCCAGAGAGTGGAGGAAGCACATCGGTGACTTCCTTGAGCTCAGTCATGAGGAAACTTGTCACTGGGGAGTCATCTACAAGGCAGTGTTATTCTCACCAGGCAGTGAGAACCATCACTCGGACATGGGGAATCTGCTCCAAATCAGGACCAGCCACACAGGTGCATGGGCTGCATTTTTATTTTCTGTATTTATGACACTTTGACACCCTGGGTCTAGCTGTTTCCGAGAGCAAGCCAGTAACCTGCCTTGAGCACAGCCTGCAGTCCAAGCAACTGCCCCAGAGCCCTCCAAGTCCTGGCAGAAGCACCAAGAAGGCCCAGCCTCCTGTCTAAGTACTCTCCACCTCTCTGCAACCAGCAATGCCTCAGCACACAGCAACTAGCAAATGGGGGCCTGTCTCTCACACCTCATGTCACTTGGCTCCATCTTTTGTTTACTTTTTGGTTTACCTTGTGTAAAATCTCAAACTCACACACATAACCAGCAAGAGATATAAGAAATGAAAGTGCCTCGGGTATGTAGACACCCTGGTTATCACACTGCCGACTCACAATGACTCGCACTGCACCCTGGGGTCAGGTGACCAGCCTGGGCAATAAAAAGAAAAGCAAGAAGCAATGAGGAATAATTCATAGAGGAGGAGTAATGCTACTACGATCTTCATACAGTGGTAAAAACTCACCGGGAATTACACAATGGCCTGTAGGAGAAAGAACAAACATACCCCAAACTGCAAGACTGAAGATAGTAAGTAGGAAAACATGTACCTTAGAATCAAAGAAAAATTGTGGACTTGGTAAAAACCTCCAGTACTCTAGGGGCCCACATAGTGAGTGGGAAAGTAACACTTACCTCTCCTCTTCCTGAATGTAAACACTGATTAAAGAAAGTAATTATCTAAAAAAGTTTACAGCATCAGTTCTGGGGTGAAATGGCAGTTCTCTTGCCCATATACATTTGTCTGCCTTTATCACACATGGCAACTGCTCAGGCAGCCTGGCTGGCACTGTCCCGGTGTACTGGCAGTGAGAGAGGACAGGAATACATGAAAGGGAGTCATGGACAGGACTTCCAAGAAAACTGCACCCCTCCCTCCTCCCGGATGGCCCAGAGAACAGACCTGATGGCTGCAGCATCATGAGGTACTCACTAGGATGGCCGGAAGGAGAAAGAGTACAAGTAAAGAAATAAAGACAAGGAATCTACCCTGGAGCCCTGAAGAGAACTAAAGATGCTTTTTTTGTTGTTTGTTTTCTTTGTTGTCTGTTTTTCTCCGGTACCGGGAACCAAACACACAACCTTGCGCTTGCCAGGCAGGCACTTTGCCGCTGAGCTAAATCCCCAGCCCAGAGAACTAAAGATGCTGACGAGAAAGTCTAGGCAGCAAGCCATCTTGGGTAAACTTGTATACAATTCCTTCTTTTCCAGTAACTCTACATCAACAGCTATACCACACAGAAAACTCTTCAAACTGGCTGGGCGTGGTAGTGCATGCCCATAACCCCTGCACTCAGGAGGCTGAAGCAGGAGGATGGCTGTGAGTTCAAGGCCAACAGGGCTACATAGTGAGTTCAAGGCCAGCCTGGATTACAGAGAAAGACCCTCGCAAAAAACCTAACAATAAAAAAGAAAATTCTTATAATCAGATACAGATGTGTAATTGACTAAGCACAAAAGTATGAAAGAAATAGGCACTGAGTATGTGACACCATTTGCTGGGGAAAATGCTTCACATAATTAGTCATTTAAAGCTCAGAATTGTATCTCACGCATCCTTTTAAACCCTCAATGTAGGCATCTGGAAAACAACAGGTTCTCAATAAATGCTCTAAGTGAACACAGGGATGAATGGTAGTGCCAGGTCAGGCAGCTGGAAATTACTGGGAACCTCATCATTGTTTGCTCACCCATCCATGCACACACACTCATCGTCCTCCAACACCATCACACCAGTGAGGGGTCAGGGTCAGGAGCTGCCCCGCTCACCTTCCGTGGTTGGAAATGCTTCGCTCCCGTCCGTCTGGGCCTCTGCCAGTTTCCCAGTCCTCAGCAGCACCTCTGCAAAGCTCTCCACAGGGGCCTGCTGACCAGTGTTGAAGGTCACGCCAGGCTGGACAAAAGCAATGTCCACCTTTTAATGGGTGTCTTTTTTAAGAGCATGTTCTTAGAAAACACAGTTGTAGGACACTACAGCTTCTGGCACCTTGAACAGTAACTTCTCCTAATGTATACCATTTTAACCAGCATTTCAATAATTTTCATCTCACAACATGTTGTCACATGTATGAAACCACACACATACAACCGATAAATGCCACGAGCAAGAACCAAGCCTAAGAAATACATTTGCAGGGGAATTTGAGTTCCTTTACACGTCCACAGTAGACAACAGTTAAGCCTGCCATTTAGGGACACTGCCCTTACCTCAGTGACAGAGGGATTCGAGATGACTGACTCATAAAAAGGATGACATCCTTGCCTTTCTAGGTCTTCATTGGCTACAGCTCCAGCTTGATAAAAGCCACTGAATTCTTGCCCCTAAACAAAACAAAGAACAGTGACTGAAAAGGGCACAGGGCAGGGAGGGAAGGCGGACTTCAGGAGAAACCGGAGGTGCCTCAGACTGGACGGGACGTGGGGCACAGACAGTGGGGACTCAGGTGTAACAGCCGTATCTGAGGAGCGGCGCATTGACCCTGCGCAAGCACCTCTTACTTCCGGAGCCCTCTGACCTCAGTCAGAAGCATCAAGCAATCAGCGTCACACACTGAGTGAGTCCTTGTCACAGTGGAGACAACTAAACTACCCCAAACGCGGTCATTTTGTGCAGGTTGCCGCTCCATGGGAAGACCCAGAAGACAGAGCAACACTTCAGGCTTTGAGATGTTAATGAGCCTTAACTCTCCACTCCACGCTCACCATCCCATCTGCATCCTGGGGCCCAGGGCCATCCAGCCAGGCCAACTGCCTGAGGGATCCACCCTGCCCAGCTCAGCTGGGCCTGCTGGCCACTCAAACCCAGCCTGACATGACCGCAGCAAGATGACAGTGACACTGCCTTTCTTTCCCTGTTGCCTGTGCAACTACCCTCACCCACACACTTGGAAGACTTGTTCTCAGCATCCCTGAGAATGACCCTGAAGGCTCCCAGGAGAGTTCATTATGGTCGTTCTACTCTCCTCAGGTAGACTTGAGGGTTCCTTATGGAAGAACTGAGAGACATCCCACCAGATGACTGTGCGACTACTTTCCACCAAGCTCGATGACGGAAACAGCAAAGCTGCTGCTGCTGCTGCTACTGCTGCCAATAACAGCTGACTTTAAGAAACACTAGCTTACTGTTAAGGCTCATATCCAGAGTCCCCCTCAAAGCCTCATGTGCTCACCGGTGGGCTTTGCGGAGGAGACCAGATCATGTGGGTGTGTGACACTGGTCATGGGTATGCGGTACTGGGCCATGGGTATGTGACACTGGATTGTGAGTGTGTGGCACTAGATCAGTTCACCGAGGAGGTCACGGCTGGGTGTGTTGGGAGGTGGAGTCTAATGGGAAGAGGAGGGTCCCTGTGGGCGTGGCCTGGGGAGAGCTATGTACAAGCAGGTAGATATGCGTGCATGTGTGCATGTATGTATGCATGTACACCCTTCCTCACTTGAGCCTTCTTCCTGCCTGCCATGTCCTGAGTGGTCTCCTCTCTGCAGTGTCCATCTGAGATGCCGACTATGGACTGAAACTTCCAAGAACCCTGTGTCCTAATAAACCTTTCCTCCTTCAGCTCATAGGTGTTGGGTATTTTGTCCCAACAATGAGAATGTAATGGAGACAAATTGACACAGTGTTAAAATTTTACCTAAAACTGAAACTCTTAAATTGTCCAATGCGGAGAAAATGAAAATGATCATAATCATAATCCAATGTGAACATGTAGGGACAAGATATACCCAGATTCACCCCAAATTCAAGTACGCAGCAGCTCAGGCTGTGGCATCTGCGCCCACTCCAGCTGTGTGGCCCACGCCTTTAACCTCCCCTTCCCTGTGTGTCCCACACGTGGAACATCAGCAGAGGTGCACAGCCCATCCCCCACCCCCTGCTTGTTTGTGGCTCACACCCTCTCCAGCCACAGCACCGGCCCACGGGGCCCGGGACAGCTTCTCCCCTCACTCCTGCCAGCAGTTCCCTGCACAGCATTGACATGACCTTGCTACAGGTCATGCTGACCACACACCTCACTCCTCTGTCCTCAGAGCTGTCCAGCTGTGTCACACCAGAGCCCACGTGGCACTTTCAGGGCTGGGATTCCACTCCCCCTGTGTTCTCTGTTCCACCCTCCTCCTGCTGGCTTATGCTGCTCAAACCACACTTGACACTGCCTTGGCTGTGTCTTAAAGTCCCCCAAAGCCTCATGTAGTCATGCGGCTTCTTCAGAGGTGGCTGGATCTAGAGTGTATGACACTGGGATTATTCATGGTGCAGTGCTAGGCTCAAGGGTGCTAGGATTAAGGATGTGAGCACTGCCTGCCCTGAGTAGCCTGGATAAGACAGAAGGGACAGAAAGAGCTGTAGTCACCCCTTGCTTGCTCTTGCCTGCCTGCTTGCCATGGACTGCTTCTCCTCTGCAATGCCCCTCTGCCATGCTACCCGTCTTGAAGCCAGCCGACCATGGACTGAAATCTCCGCACACTGTGAACTAAATACATATCTTTCCCCCTTTAACTCTGGGTGTTGGGTATTTTGCCTCAGCAATGAAAGGAAAGTAACCAGGATAATACCTTAGAATACTTTTCAGAATACTTTTTAATTCTACAAGACCTCAAGTGTGTGCCCTGGAAGGCTCCGTACTTTTCCACTTGACTTAATCACATTTCTGCCCCAAGTGGTGTTTTTCTGAGGAGCCTGACTTTTCTCTTGCTCACCTCCCTTCTTTAGTGTCACTTGGATCCGCTTACCTCACCACTTCACCCCAGGATGCTTTTGTAAGACTCTACCAGTGCAATGGTTGTGTCGACTTGACAGGTTTAGAAGTTTAACTCAGCAGAGAACTGGTGTCCTCACTCTGTAAACATCTACATCCTGTTTAAGAGGAGGGCAGCCAGATCTTGTGAGTGCTACACTCACCCTAGAGAGTGGTAGCCTGCTTACAATGTAAGGCAGAAAAAAGAGGCTTGCTCTTTCCCCTTTTGCTCTTGCTGTCTTCTGCTGCCTTGAATTGTTGCCCCTGTGCCATGCCATCCTGCCTTAGAGCCCGCTGATTATGGACTGAGACCTCCACAAACTGTGAGCCAAATAAACCTTTCCTTAATTTTTGATGCTGGATATTCTGTCCCAGCAACAAGAGAAAAGTAACTAAGACAACCAGTGAAAGGATGACAACCAGAAGAGGATGAAAGGCAAGTGTCACCCATCCTATTCCAGTGTAGAGCATGGCACTTAACCTGAAGAAGGAGAGTATGTGCTGGATGGATGGGTGGGAAACTCCATGAGTGTTTGGGATAAGCTGATAAAAAAGGCATACGGTTTTCTAACGTGACAGTGAAGGCCTGTAATGTTAGAACACGGAGAAGATAGCAGGGAAAGAATGGTTGAAATGCCCCTCCAAGCCAACTCTACTGCTCCATGCTGGTCCTGATGCCCCTTCCAGAGCAGAAGCAGAGTCTGAGATAGTGCCCAAGCTGGTTACTCAGTTGGCCCACAACAAACCAGAAGAAGTAGAGCAAAACAAGTAAGCATTTTCTGTTACATCCCACTCAATTTTAAGTCCTACCTGTGAAGCACACTTCACTCAAATGTGTGCCAGCATCCTTTGCAATCACTCCACGGGTGTGTATTTCCCTCTGTGAAACAGATGACTCCCCTCCTACCCATAGGAGGCCTAGATTTCCCCAGACATTATTTTAATCATCAAAGGTGCAGCAACATGAAGAACTTATGTAAGCCAGAGGACTGGCTTTGCAAAGCTGCACTCTGGGCTCACCTGGAGGGGCCGGAGGTAAGTCAGAGACCTCTTCCACCACTGCCCGTCACTGACGGCCTGCAGCACAGCCCTGGTGGTCGTTGTGGTGTTGGAAAGGACTTTCATGGTGGTGGCAGTGGTCCAGCTCAACAGGTCAGCCGAGCCACTGCCTGGACCGTCCGGCTCAGCCTTCATTGACAAAGAAAAAAAGTAAGAGTAAAAATGTGCAATGTAGGTAAAGTGCAGAGGGAACAATGTGACTGCTCAGAATGCACAGACAACAGGCATGAAAACAGAGAAATTTAAAACACCATCTTTCTGGCCTGGTTTGACCTCAGGCGACATTGAGCATGGTAATACGGATGTCAATCCACAGCCACAGGGTCTCCGGCTGCAGAGGGAACCAACTTGCCTCCTTTCTTAGCTTCTGAGCGCTGGCCTGGGAGACCAGGCAGAGACGTGAGCCACCAGACTTCTGCCCTTTGGGCACGTTTCTCAAATGTCAACTGTAGTTTTTTAAAGTTGCCGAACTCACAGCAACAGAAAGTGAACCTCTCATCTAACGACTCTTGCATAAATCTCCATGCTATTCCGATTCTAAAGGAAAATGTGTCAGCTGTGCAGTGCTCATGATTTACCCAGACCCCAGCTGCTGGCAGCTTCCTATTCTTATTCTAGACTGCTGTTAACATGAAAACAACAACCAAACACCATGTGAGGTTTCCAATGAGTTTTTGACCTTAGACTATCAACTAAACGCAATATTACAGGTAAGAACTTAACTACGAAGAGAACCTAGAAAAATGGATGGCATATTAATAAAAGGAAAATCATGTGAAATTGCTGGCATTAGGGGCAATTATGCAGAAGACAACTGTCCGAGATGGAAGTGCATTCAGGCAGCGCCCCAGGGATATCAGGCTGAGTCTGGTACTGCAGCTTTCTTCACGCCTGAGCGCCCTTGCCATGGAAGCTGAGACTGCCGCGGGGACTCCCCACTTGACCTGGTCTCCCGCGGATCCTGTGCTCACAGCGCATGAGCTCCAGGAGGGAAACTGCAGCGGGGACCACAACTCTGCCCTTTCTGGTTTTCCCGCTGGCAGGCCATACATTTCCGTTTCTGCTGTGCTTTCCGGTGGTGGTAACAGGATTGAGCGTCTACACTGCCAGCGCACACCTTGGCACAGTCAGTGCAGCACCACAGCCAAGCTCGCTCCCAGATCCCATCTGGCCTGCAACCCATGGGAGTGAAATCTAAAATCCTGTTCTATACTTTAGAAGTTATTGCTACCAACACTCATGAAGGCTGCATTCTTCTGATTTTCTGAGCCCTCGATTTGCCATTAAGAGCAGAAAATTTTCTCTTTATAATAGGTAGAAAGTTTTCTGTAACCTGCCGCGGGGACTCCCCACTTGACCTGAACGTTGATTGGTCAAAACAAGCAATGACCTGATGAGATTACAGGTAGAAAGCAGAAGGATGGGTCCGTGATACTGTGTGTTCTGGACTGCAGAGTGCTGGAGTTACTCTTCCAGGGTGCTGGACCACGCACACTTGTGGTCCAGCTCCTGGCTCCAGATCTTTTCAAAAACATTGTTTCTGAAGTAGAAGACATTTTCCAAAGAGTCCACACAGAGGGTACATACAACTAATCAATTTTTAACATATAAATAGCAGCCTTCGGGCCAAGAATAGGCTGCCGCTAGAATTCCAGAAGCTGCGCTTGGGCTCACACCATTGCCAGACCAACACCACCCTAGCTTGCAGCAGCATCGACTATTCTGCCTGCTTTCAAACTTCACATGAACAGAATCAGGTACTCTCTTGCATCTTACTTCTCACTCCACACAAATTCATTACTGTTTTTGGAGACAGTTGAAGACTCTTCAATACACTGCTGTCTCATATTAGACTTGTGAATACATCAGGATTTATTTATCCTTTCTTCTGTGAATGAGCATTTGGGTAGACTTCAGCTTTGAGCAAATGCCAATAATGCTGCTCTGAACATACAGGCAATCATTTTTCGATGAACAGATTATGAATTTCTGGGTAAATATCCAGTAGTGGAATTGCTTAGGAATACTGCACACATCTGGCCAGATTTACTAAATTGAGTTGGAGATCTTCCTGAAATGTCTATATCAATTTCCACTCTCACGAGCAATACTGAATCCTGGTGGCTCCCTGTCCACAGCAACACATGGTATTTCATGCCTTCTTACTTGAGCAATTCTGCGAAGTATGTAACACCTTTCTGTGGTTTTGATTTGCACTTCTGCAGTGATTAAGGAAGTTGGACACCTTTTCATATATTTTTGGGCCATCTGAGATTTCTCTGTGAAGCTGTTTATTGTGCCTTTAGTCTATTTTTCTACGGCTTGTCTGCCTTTATTACACAAGTACACACGTTTTGGATGTATTCTGGATACATATCCTCTATTACATGTATGTAATGACTGACACATTGTGTCAATTTGAGAAGCCTAGAAGTTTAACTAAGCAACTCAGCAGGGGGCCAGGGTCCATCCCCTATAAACATCCTTAGCTTGTGGAAGAGGATGGCATGGAATCTATAACTGGTAATCTGAGCAACTACTTTGAAGATAACAATATGTAATACAGCAACTATTGTTAATTTCCTATCATCTTTTTTTGAAATTCTGCATCGTTTCTGTTTTTGTTCTTTTCTCTTTAAAATAAAAATAAAGAGGGCATGGAGATTGTGTGAGTGCTACACCAGCACTAGGAGGTAGGACAGCCCACTTGCAATATAAGGCAGAAAAAGAGGCTTGCTCTCTCCCCCTTTTGCTCTTGCTGTCTTCTGCTCCCTTGAACTGTTGCCCCTGTGCCATGCCACCCTGCCTCGGAACCAGCTGCTTACAGACTGAAACCTCCACAAACTGTGAGCTAAATAACCTTTTCTTCCCTTTATTTTAGGTGTTGGGTATTTTGTCTTAGCAAGAGAAAAGTAACCAACACAATGTATGAATTGTAAATATATTCTATTATTCTGTGGATTGTCTTTTCATCATCTGAAATTAGTTAATTTAAGTTTTAAACTTTGTGATTATTCCTTTTGTATCATATTTGTGAAATCTTGGCCTACTCAAAAGTCACAAAAGTGTTCTCCTAGGTTTGTCTTGATGTGAAATGTTTTTACTCTAGGTAGAATCTTAAGACCACATACTACCATTCTTCTATAAATTTATAAAATTATGTATGTAATTTTAATGTGTTTCCCATGATACATATAGTAATTTTTTGGTCTGTCCTGACTAAACAGTAAGCTGCTCAGGAGCAGGGGTGCTACCTATTTAGTATATCCTCAGAGTGTGTGAAAACTTCTGCCATTTGTAGCTACAGGTAGGTATAAGAAATCTGGCCTTACCATGCCATTTGAATGTTGGAAGGCACATTTCCAAAAGCCTAGTATGTTGTGTGTACATAGGTAAATGTTTCTCAAATAGGCTTTCATGCTATATTTTTAATTTCTGTTCATCTTTAGAAACTTCTTAATTGAGAGGGTATACTCAGTGATTTTAATGTAATCAACTAATCCCAGTACAGAATTAAAAATATAAGATATAGAGCACTTAAACAGAATACAATTTCATTCAGAGACAAATGAAACCAATTAAAAGATACATAAATATATGAGCCATAAAAGCATCATTCTACTTCATAAAATGATCTTACACTTTACTTTTCTTCATATGGATGGGCTGGCCCAAGACAGAATCTTTAGGACATACAAAATGTAGAAGACTGTTTTTGAAGTTAAATGAAATCCACATACTCAATAGTGTGTGTGATGAAAGGATTTTCTGTAAGAGAGTACCTTAAGGAGGTCTCAGAGGAGAAAGTAAAGTAAGAGGCCCATTTAGACCACAGAATAAGCATTTGATTCAGGGGCCATCAAGATCATAGTGTGATCAGAGTCCTAATGAGGAAAATAGTTTTCTTTCAACATCACACAATGAGGAGAGAAAAAAGAAGTTCTGCAAAACTCACTCCGGAAATGATTACTACTGACGTTTTTTATATTCATAGTTGCACATGGCCAATTAATTTGGAGTGTGTAATACCAGGAATAGATTAAACCCTAAAACCAAATTAACAATTCCCAGCATAAAATTTAACATTAAATCTCATTAATGTCAAGTGTGCTATATGACACAAAGGTTAACTCATTAAGCACTAATAATATTTTTCAAATCCTACAACAAAAAACACCATTACCAAATGGGCTCACAAGAACAAAGACAGCTCCATTTGTCAGGCACAGCTCAGGGCAACATTCTTACTGGTCAACTGCTGCAAAGATTCAAGGTGCTGTGACACAGTGGTGAGGAGCTGAGGTCTCACACAGAGCAGGTGAGGGATGAGGCGACGAAAAAGATGCAGCCCTGGTAAGCCAGGCATGCAGGGAAAGTCCTCGGAGCAGCACACGCTGAGCCTGCAGAGCAAGCATGTCAAGCTGCTTCTGCAACGAATGAAGGCAGCACCACATCCTGCCTTGAACCAAGACAGACAAGGCAGACACATCATCTTCAGACAAGTATTCTGCAAGTGCATTTAAACAGTATACCCAGATAAAAAGCAGAACACTATTCCTTATTGCTAAAAGCTACTTGAAACTATCACAAAACAAATGTATTAGAAATGCAGGGCCCTATGAAAAAAGGCAGGGTAGAAGTCGAAAACAACCCTGGAATTCTGACTGTGGTGCTTGAGGAGGCGAGGAATGGAGATCTAAGGTGTAGATTTGCTAATCCTGCTCCTTCTGTGTGCTGTGCTCGAATTCTGCATGGCAGACCCTCCCTAGCCTAATGCACTGCCTAAAGGTAGAGGGAGAGGGTCGCCAATGCTTGGAAGGTGCGGACCCAGGACAGAACTCCACGTGCCTGGGTTGTGTGGACTGAGGTGTGCCAGTGGACGTGCTGAGCTCTTCCACACCGTATCACCCTCTTAAGTGACATCAGGACCATGTATCCGAGCCCCCACAGAGAACACTCTTCGGACAAGGTCAGAAATAGGAAGTGTCTTTCAGGAAAGTGCTTGCATCAGACAGTAACAGACAAAGTGTGCATTTACACAGCAGAATGGAGAAACTGCACGGAGTCAGGAAACCCCCATGCCAGGGACCTGCCTCCAGCAGTGACACCAGGGCAACAACAGTGCTGAC